CGTGTGAAAGTTTGTTTTTGAAAGGTCATGTGGGGTGTTGACCGGGACGAGCCCGGATTGATCGGAGGGCGACACTGGGGTGTTGACCCGGGTCGTGTGAAAGTTTATTTTTGAAAGGTCCTGTGGGGTGTTGACCCGGGATAGAGCCCGGATTGATCGGAGGGCTGACCTGTGGGGTGTTGACCCGGGTCGTGTGAAAGTTGGATGGATGCGCATGTGAAATGTGTTTGGGTTGAATTGGATGAACGTACGTGTGTATGGCGCTCGAATGATTTTGATGTGTTCATTGACTATTATTGCATTATTATGATTTGACTAAGGTGCAGTGTGGGCATGTGATTGGATGGCGAGGTAAGTCCATTTATGTGAATTATATATATGTAATCGGGTAGATTGCATGCTGAACTTGTCTGGGTACGCTTTGGCCTATGCGGGGTTTAGGGGTCTGCTTATTGAGATTTATCTCATTCCCGTTGTTAAACATTTTCAGGTTTTGGAAATGACGGTTAGTCGTCGCGTGCGGTCCAGAGACCAGGAGTACTTGGGCATTTGATGCCCGTTCATCTTTTGGATACCCCCTTTTGTGTATAGTGAAGTAGGCCACCCAACCGTCGCCCCCTTTTGTTAAATGTGGCCTTGAAGTTAGTAACCCAGATTTAATGTTGTAAGTGACTGTCAGTTTTATAACATGCGCTTGTTGATTTATGCCTATGCTATCCCGTTGTCATTGTCTTTTGTCTGGGTTGTTTCTATTTCGCTTCCGCTTGCCTTTATCGTTGGGTGTTTCGTTTGGGTCGGCGACGCGTCCTGGGACGTCGCATTCAATGATTGACCATCGAGGGGTGTCGCGAGCCCGTTGGGGTTCGGGGCGTGACAATTTTGATGAGAAGTTCTTGGACAAGAACGATGAATGACAGTACCATTCTGAGAAAGAATTCTAAGGAACTCTCTGTCCCTATATTCCATGGCATTATTAGTACGAAAAACCTTGATATCACGAGAAATTTATGTTTTGATCATGGCAGCAAAGTTACCATAGATCTGAGTAAGTTCATATCGATTCTTCATAAGATATAGCCATGTAAAACGAGAATAATCATCCACAAAAATCACAAAGTAATGAGATCCACCCATAGTGAGAGTAGGAGATGGTCCCCAAATATTTGAAAGAATGAGATCAAATGGAGTATAAGAGACATATTCACTAATATCGCATGGTAAAGCATGATGTTTTCCCAATTTACAAGGCAAGCAATCAAAAGTTTTATCGTCAACGGAACCTAAATGACCACTTAAAATCAAAGGACTTAATCTAGAATAAGAAGGATGACCCAAACGAGAATGCCAAGTTTCAGATGATACTGTAGCAGCACAACTAATGAAGGAATTGAGAAGCTTTAAGGAAACAAGTTCAAACAAGTGACCCAATTTACGGCCTGCCCCAATTGTTTGTCCTGTCCATGGGTCCTGCACACGACAACCATTCGAAAAGAAATGAATGTCAAAACCAAGTTCACATAGCTGTCCCATATATATCAAGTTTAATGAGAGTTTGGGAACCATAAATGTATCGGGCAAGGATAATGTGGATGTCAAAATGTTCCCTGTATGACTAACTATCATCTTAGAGTTATCGGTTGTATGAATAATAGGTGCTTATGAAGTGTATGATTTTGACTTGAATAAATGGGAGTTTGAGGTCATGTGATTACAACAGGCAGAATCAAAGAACCACAAATTTGAAGTATCTGGGGTGACTGATAGAGCAAAAGGACCAGAATTACCAGATTCTTGAATAATAGAACGAACTGTGGACTGAAGATCATCTAATGATAGAGTGACAAATGAACTGTTAGAGGAATCATCTATGGTAGCAGCAGCAGTGGATGAGCGGCGTGCATGCGGACTCTAAATTGGGATCGGTTATTTGTTCCCATAGGTTGTTTAGATTGTAACTGATAACAATTGGAAGCACGATGACCAGGTCGACGACAGTGCGCACAATAAGGCTTGCGCCATGAGGAGTAACCAGAAGTTGCAAGTACTGCACTTGTAGGAGTGGAGACTGATAGAGTTGCACGTTGCACCTTTAAAGTAGCCAGTCGAGTTTCCTCAGTCAATAATTTTGAAACAATTGCTTGAAGTTGAGGTAAAGGATCCCGATGTAGAAGTGATGCTCTCACATATTCAAACTCATCATTAAGAGCCATAAAAAATTGCATCACACTCATACGATCACGATATTCAGCAAACTTATAGGCATCAACAGTCGACTCCCAAGTTGGCTCAGATAAAGCTAGTTGATCCCATATAGCGTGCATGGAAGATAGAAAGTCGTTAATAGACTTACCTGTCTCTTGATACATGCGATGTAAATTCCCTAATAATTGATATTGATGAGCAATGTCCGAAGTGGAATAACGACTAGCAAGAAGATCACAGGCTTCCTTTTCTATATTTAGGCGACCGAACTGAAGTTTGATAGATAGAATCGAAGTATTTCGAAACCATGTGAGTATCTGATGATTCTCAATCCCCCACTCCTCCATACGTTCAGCAAATTTATCATCATTCTCATCAGGAGCCTAAATAGGCTCATAATATGTCTAGTGACATAATGCCATAGTTTACGTCCCCTTAGAAAACTTGATATTTCTTGAGCCCATAAAATATAGTTGGATTAATTCAAGATGGTCTGAATGGGCATCGAGACTTTTAATTTTTTCATGATATGCAATATACTAGTATAACCCAGTAAATTCTATCATGAATTCGAGGAAAACTAATACTTGCAAGGCTGATATGGAGAAATTAAGCCCAAAAATAGATTCATAACGTTGAAATACCTCAGGAACCGGTTTGAAAACAACAAGAACTGGTCGAAAAAGTGGACGAACCCGAGACGTGGCCACCTTTCCAAAAGAACAAAACAACACGCACATGTCAACATTTTCATATCCTGCTTACTAAATGCTTGCTCTAGTCGTGTGACTTGTGTCCACCCTCCTGCGTATTTTGATTGAATGAGATGAATTCACTAATTGGCTAGACAAAGATTATACATAGAACATACGAGCTTTATTTCCAATTTTTATAACAAGACACGTGTTCGGAGAATTTTATATTAGACACCGATATGTGTTCTCATTTGTCCATAAACGCCACAATTTACCAACAAAGCAAAAATCCCCATATGTTTCGGGCGGATCAAATTGCTTATTCATTTTCATTTCTAAGCAAAAAAAAGAAAGAAAAAGAAAACTGAGAAAATTAACTTAAAGAAAAGAAAAGGAGAACAAGAAAAGGACAAATTACTTTCCCCGTGGGGAGCGAAAGCGGAGGTTTTCGTTTGGAGATCTCTGGGGTGTGGAAGAAGGTAACGATCGAGAAGAGTGGGAGGGTGTGTGAGTTTTTCTCAGGGTGGATGATGATGGATTGGGTATTTATTTATTGAACGGAAGGAAAGTTGACGGAGAGTCGTCCACAACACAATCAATGTTGTGCATGGAGTGTATATATATGGAGAGAAGAGGCCATGCATGCAGGTCCGACTTCAAAGAGAGCAGCACACCACCACCCCCCCACATGTTTAGATTTGAGAGAGAGAAGGGACACCATCATTGGACTCAGCAAAGTGCCCAATGATACGATGACTGCGATGACTCGGATCTTTTTCTCCAGATCTGAGTGATGTAACTCTTCCCCTCTACTGCTGCGGAGGCAGGACTTCGAGCTAGGGGTGAATATGGTTTCATGTCCTGAAATCTGAGAATCAGATCGGTAGAAATCTGTTGATTTTGAATTTCAAGATATGCAGGGTAGGTTTTAATTTCTAAAAATTGAGGAATCTATTTCGACGGATAGATCCTAGATTCTAGGTAGGTGGAACCTGAAACCTGAAACTTTAAATAATTTTGTGTTTTTCTTGATCGATGTTTTCGCGCGATCCTGCGGTATTCCATGACATCCGATGATGAGCGTATAATCTGAAACCACTAGTCTGAACCTTCATTTTATGGTTAAGACTTTTACTTTGTTAATGTTTCATATTATTCGCATGTCTAAATATAAGTTGTAGTAATTGAATTGTAGCAGCAAGTGGTGGTCATGAAAGGTGATGATTCACGGTAATTGTTCAATTAATAATACGGGTGAAATCAGAGTAGACCCTGGAACCGACCCTGAAACCCGTGACAAGTTAGCTTCTAAGTTTCAAGGTATATAGATTAGCTTTCAGGTTCCAAAAAATGAGGAACCTGTTCTCACGGATAGGTTCCAAATTTTAGGTAGAATCTGTACGGAACTTGGAATCGCTCACCTTTATTCCGAATGGTGAAATCTGGTTGATTTGGAAAAATTAATTAGTCGAAAAGAGAGAGCATAAAGGAAAAAAAGAAATAAGAAAAGAAGAGGTTCTCGGAAGAATCGCTCCTATCACTCGAATCAAAAAAACATATTTACATAAGAACGTTTTCGCAAACGGTGAAAATTTATTTCTGGCTCCTTTATTTTCGTGAACGAAACAAGCGACCATTTTTCAAAAAATATTTTCTAAAGACAATAACGTTTTTTCGCGAAATAAACACACTCAAAATTATAATTCTTCATATCGCCCGTCAATTAAATCCCGATTAAGGAAGGGATATACGCAAACGATCTCGCGTGGTCCATTGCTTGCAACAGGGTGCATCTGCATCGAGAAGAGTAGAAATTGGTTATTTGGTTATGATAGGGACGTGTGCGCAGGAATGTTCCAGCGATTCTTCATACTATGGCAGGGTAAAGTCATCAAAACGGATCGCAAATTCATATTTTAACTAGGGGTGTCAATGGGTCGGGTCGGGTCGGGCTTCATGATATCCGACCCGACCCAACCCGAGACCCTGTTCAGCATATATTCCAAGAATATGATCGGGTCGGGTCGGTCCGTCCGGGTCGGGTTTAGGGTCACAACTGATGCGCTTCTTCGCTCGACAGTCCCCTCCCAGTTCGCCCATCAATTTGATTTGCAACGACGTCTCCCTCCACCAACGAATCCCTCGTCTTCACATCCTTTGCTGCTTCAGCATCCTCTATTATCTCTCCGTCTTCCACCTTCAATTTCAAGCAAGCGCATACATTTGCTTATCAGGAAACGGGCAATAATACAAACTAAGATTCACGCAAAGCAAGCAAATTGACTACACAACACCATCTCTCTCACCTAACCAGCAAGTACATCCACTTAAAGCAAAAAAACTGTTAAACACCCTCTTCTCTTTCCTTGATAATTTGATGACCGAACCCAAAAAAAAGGAGAAAAACACGAACCTTGACGACAGCAGACAAGAGGCGGCGCTTGGCAGGAGGCTGATCTTCGTTCTCAGTCCTATCGGCCTGAAGACCAAAACCCAGAGCCAGAATCTCAGCAACCCAAGTAACAATCCAAAACCACAAGCTCAAAAACACAAACCGAAGCCGAAAAGGGCAGATGAAAGATATTCTAATTCGTCTTACAGGGCGAACGAAACCACGTTGCCGAGCTCCATTGGCGGCCACGTTACGAGGGCCGGCACCAGGAAATCTCCCTCTGCGAAGGCCCCTCGGGTCGCGAAGCCTCTCCGTTATCTGCTCCCACACAACCCCACAAACACAGAACACCCAAAACACCAATCATCCACACCGAATCCCCCGTCTCTCCCCGCGCCATCTTCAGGTCCTCCTCCTCCTGATCCGCTGTCGGCCCTAGGGCTCCTCTGGAGTCCGGGTCGCGGGGCGAGACCCGTCGCCGGGGCCGCTGGCGCGAGCTGTCGCGGCGGTCGTCGTAGCAATCGTACGAGGGGCTGGGGCTGCGGCAGCGGCGATCGGGCTCGCGGCGGTCGTAGGAGTCGTAGGAGGGGCTGCGGCGGCGCTCGGCGGAGCGGTCCGATTCGGGGGTGTGGCGGCCGTTCTCGCCATGGGAACGGTCCCGGCGACCGGAGACGCCGCCGGAGTACGGACCTCCCATCTTCGGCTTCGGAGGAGGACGGGATTCGGAGCGGCGGCTTCGTGGCAAATAACAGAGATGTAACAGAGAGAGCGAAGGGGGGGAGAGAGAAGAGATTCACGGCCGCCAGAGAGAGACGAGAGCAAGGGGGAGAAAAGAAGGGTTATATTTGGTGCCGGCCCGGCCCGATCCTAATGAATACCCATATTTAAAATTCATACCCAGAGAAAATAAGATCTGATCTTAAAATATCCTAAAATTTCGGGTCGGATCGGACCGGGTCAACTCGGGCTTTTTTGACGCCCCTAATTTTAACCCGTATTAATTATAGTGGATTATAAACTGACCACTTCAATTGCGAAATGTGATTCATAACGAGTTGTAAAATGAAAAAGGCTTAAAACAGATGGGTTTAAGCAGGTCTGGGTTGAACTCGCTTTTCAACCCACATCCAACACGTCTTAGCCCACCTCCAGCTCAGACGTCTCAGGCTGTTGACATCACCGAGATCGACGACGCCAACACCAACGAGCTCTACAACTCCGGTCCAGCTCTACCTCAGCTCCTTCGTCTCCGCCTCCGGCAGCTGCCTCTCCCTCACCCATGCCGTCAGTTCCAGCGCCACCACTTTCGGCCTCTCAAACAACGACTGCATCAATGACGTCTTTGACGGTGTTGCCATCCGGTGGGAGCACGTGGTGACGCAGCACCAGTCCCAGAACTTCTCGCAGCGGCCCCTCCCCGACGAGAAGCGCGGCTTTCAGGCTCCAGATCAGGAAGCGCGACAAGGGCCTCATCCTCGACTCCTACCTCGACTACATCATCGACAATGCCAACGACATCCGCCACAAGAACCAAGAACGCCTCCTTTATACTAATTTGCACGGCGGGTCGCTCGATTCTCGTGGCCACCCTTGGGAATCGGTGCCGTTCAAGCATTCGAGCACCTTCGACACGCTGGCCATGGTTCCGGAGAGGAAGAGGGACATCATGGAGGACCTCCGCGACTTTACGGCCGGGCAGGCCTTCTACCAGCGGACGGGCCATGCCTGGAAGCGGGGCTACCTGCTCTATGGCCCGCCCGGGACAGGGAAATCGAGCATGATCGCCGCGATGGCCAATCTCCTCGGCTATGACATCTACGACCTCAAGCTGACCGAGGTGCACTCCAACTCCGAGCTCCGGAAGCTCCTCATGAAGACCAGCTCCAAGTCCATCATCGTCATCGAGGACATTGACTGCTCCGTCAATCTGTCGAACAGGTCGAAGGCACCCCACGCCTCCGTGGCCCGGGGCTACTACGACCTGGGCAGCCCTGACACCCCGCGCGGCGGCGGCAGAGTCAGGAACAACAACACGATCACACCCTCGGGCCTGCTCAACTTCACCGACGGCCTGAGGTCGTGCTGCGGGAGCGAGAGGATCTTCGTGTTCGCCACCAACCACATCGAGAAGCTCGACCCGGCATTGCTCCGGAGCGGCCGGATGGACATGCACATCTACATGAGCTACTGCTCGTACCCGGCGCTCAAAATCCTGCTCTGGAACTACCTGGGTGCGAGGTTGAGGACCTCGGCGCGACCGCGGCAGCGGCGAGGGAGCTCCGAGAGGTGGTCAAGAAGGCCAAGATGACGCCGGCAGACATAAGCGAGGTCCTGATCAAGAACCGGATGAACAAGGAGAGAGCGGTGGGGGAGCTGCTGGAGGTGTTGAAGGCGAGAGCGGAGAGGAACGAGAAGTACGGAGGAGGGATGAGGGAGGAGTGCGAGCTGAACCGGGTGGTGGTGGAGGAGGAGGAGGAGGAGGAGCAAGAGAAGCAAGAGAAGAGGGCTCTGGTTCTGGAGAGCCCCAAGGGAGCGACTGTGACGACGAATCTTCCAAGAAGGGGGAGGATAATGAAGCGAAGAAGAAAGCAAAATAAGAGGGAAACAAATCAATTTGTCCCTTTTTTTTCATCTTCTTTTCCACTCCTATTTTCTCTTTTTTTTCTCTCTCCTTTTTTTTTGGGGGCTTAGAAATGAAAAATGGAGCAGCAATTTTATCTGTCGGGAACAATGGTGATTTTGCTTCGTGACATGTGAGGGCAAATTGGTAAATTTCAATTTTTAAAAGCTCCGAATTCGTGTCTTATTATGGAATTTTTTTTTGGTCGGATGTCTTTTTGTGGAATTAAAGCTCGGATGACTCAGCAAAAATTATAAAAATTAGAAATAAATTTCGTACGACATGTTGACTTTATCCACTTTCGTGGGTTGTGCGTTTGTTTGTTCTTTATGAGATGGCCGGCCGGGCACATGATCCTATGTGTGGTTTTTTTTTTTTTTTTCTGTTTTTGGTCAAACTATGTTCGGTGTTAGGCGCGCAGCTTTTTGGAGATGTTGCAAACGTGCATAATGTGATTTTGGGTCGAAAATCTTAACTTAAGGAAAAGTAATTTTTTTAATTAATTCTTGCAAGCGTTGTTCACCATTGCTTTGGTCACAGACGGAAGGTATTGCCTATGTTCTGCTCACAGTCACGAGCAAAAAGATCGAGCAAGGTGCACGCATTTTTTTTCTTTCTTTCTCTCTTTTAAAAATATTTTCCATAAATTCCGTTCTTTATTTTTGTGGCGCCATTTATTCCTGCACTTTATTATTATGCTTATTAATTGAGATCTGTCTCAGACATTTTTCAGATTGTCTAAAAAAGATGAAAGCTTTTTCTTTTTTTTTTTTTAAAGAAGAAAAAAACACAAGCCCTTATGGCCTGTGCGCCAAGGCAGATAATCCCAGTTAGAAGAAGATGGTGAGCAGTGTGGGACTGGGTCGCGCCGCCATCATCAACGAAGAAGAAGAAGATCGATTGATTTCGAGCGAATCCAAGAATCTCGAGCATTTGGTCGACCAGCGGACGCGAGATCACATGTGACGTGCGCGTGCATCCAATAACGGACAAGGCGGGCCTAGCTTTTTGCCTTCTCTCCCGTATGGTGATGAACGACTGCTTTCGCTCCTGCATCCCCTTCCTAAGTGATGATTTTGGCGACGGGTGCTCTCAAGACCCACCTAATTCAGCAAACCCGAATCGAAGGAATTTACCGTCCAATTATGCGACCCCGGGTCATTGAGTACGGGCCGCCCTTCTCGGTCCCAAAATTTTTCACTCCAACTGCACTTACGTTGGGCGGATCGCCTTTCTCAGTCCTGAAATTTTTCTTCTCGGTTTCATTGGGTTACTGCCTCGGTCTGCAACAATGCAACATGGGGTCGGCTCTCTGACTGAGAACCCCGGCCGAATCACAACCACGTTGGTTCAGTCCGATAATTCCTGTGGCTCTACTTTGTAAGCCGTCTAGAGTAGAAATCGAGCCTCACGTCTCACATCTCATGCGCATGCTCATGTGATCTCATGTCCACCGGTCCCCCCCAGATGCTCGAGATGCTTGGATTCGCTCGAAAGTAACCGGGATTTTTCTCGGAGATTTAATTACCCTTTAAAGAGGGATGCGCCCGGCCTGGGCTTTTAAAGGGGGGAAAAAGGGGAGGTCATAATAGGATTTTGGGGGGACGTGATTTAAATGTTCACATCTCACGCCCATTTACCTTGTGGCGAATGGCTTCAAACGGCACGTGAGTGCGTATCACATGTGGACCGTATGACCGATCTCTCCCCGTTGGGGAAGGGGGGGGTTCGTAAAAGGTGTACCAAAACATAATTTGCCCTCACGGGTAAGGGTAATCGGTTTCAGACCTGAAATCCGAAACCGACCCTGTTATAATTAGGTCTTAATTTTTAGAACTTAAAACCTACTCTGTGTTGTTCAGGATCCTGTTTTGGAACCTACTTTATTTTTTCGGTCCGGTTACAGGATCTACTTGAGAATCCCTTTTTTTTTGTTTTCCTTTTTTTGGTTTCATTTATTCCGAAGTAGCAAATAGGAAAATTTATAACTCAAATCAAAGGTTATCAGTTTGACTATGCAAACAATCTTAAGTATTCATACAAAAGAGTATTATCTTAGTCTCAATAATTTAATGGACATGATAAAACAACATAAGTTCCAGTTGGATATTTAGTTTTTTCGTTACTGAACAAAAAATTTTGTGAAAAGGGAAATTGCTTCTTATAATGATTACAAGCCCTTGAGTTAGACTATCGGCAAATAATGATCACCTCCCTTATCCTTTTATGATAGTATATTTTAAATTCTGGCCATATAAAATTACAAATTGACCTCCATATAAAACCAGTCTGGATTGATTTTCACTTGGAACCGGAGACCGGATCGGTTCTAACCGGTTCCCAAAAAATGGAACCGGCTCAAATGAGAACCGATCCCTAGATCTGTTTTCCGGGTGGGCTGGTCCGATTTCAGTGTAAATCCGATTCGGTTACACACCCTTATTCACGGGCCTCGTAAAAGGTGTACCCAAAACGTATCGGTAATTGCGAGCTAAAATTCAAAGACGGATCCCCACGGACCCCCCGTGAGGGCAAAAGTACGTTCAGGTACGCGTTTTGGTACTTGCGGGCGAGGGCCCAACGCTAAAATTCAAAGGGCGGGTTCCCACGAACCCCTCCTTCCCCTATAAATCGAAGTAGGACCCGTTTGTCCCAGAAAAAAAAAAAAAAAACCAAATCCCCATTTCTCTTTCTCACCCTCCCACTCTCCAGAAAAATCTCAAACTTTTGAATCA